GGTGACTCTGAGGTTTCACTCAATCATAAGCTGAGCAGAAATGGATTTTTAAAGGAACCTAAAATTATTCTTCAAGTGAATAAGATTAAACTGTTTTATAATGATGACAGATATTATAATCCAGAGCTCTAAAAGCTGACAATACTATTTTCATGGTTGAAAAAGAAAAATAAAACCAAAGAACAGAATAAAACTTGTGGATCAAGGATCACTGACACTGGAATATCCAATAAATGGTCAGCAATAAAACTCCTAGAACTGACACCAAACACAGCTGTCTTTCTTCCAGAACTTTCTTCTAGAAACTGTAGTCATGTCTTCCTGTAAAACAGAAATAACAGCAATACCTTTCTCAACGTTAGAAGCCACGTGCAATATGACTCATTCTGGATCGTCTATGGTTATTTTCTGTTTGTTCTGATTTGTTTTTTAATTTTGAAGTTACTTTAGGCTAACAGAAGAGTTGCAAAGACAGTAAAGAAAGCCGCTTTCACCTGGCTTCCCCTAATGTTAACACAACATTTACCGAAACTGCAAACGAACACTGGTACAACTCTACTCACTACCTAGACACTTTATTTGGATTTGCCCAGTTCTGCCACTGATGCCTTTTTCTCTCCTGGGATCCAGCAGATCACACTGCAAGTAAGTGGCCGTGTCCCCCCACTCTGTGATATCACCACAGCCTGTCCTTGTCATTATCGTCACCGTTTTGAGGAGGACTGGGCTGGTGTTTTGTAGAATGCCCCTCAGTGTGGGCTCTTGTGATGTATTCTCATAAATCAACTGAGATTACAGACCTTTGGAAGAGAATACCACGGAGGGGACACGTGCTTCCCATGCCATTTATCAGAAGGTATGTGATATCAATATGTCTTATTAGTGATGATGCTGATATTAATGATTTAGTTAAGCTAGCATCTACCAGGCTTTTCTCTGTAAAGTTAACTATCTTTCCCTTTCATTTTCTATTCTTTACAAGCAAGTCATCAAGTCCAGCCCTCAGTCAATGGAAGGAAATTAAGCCCCACCTCCCACAGGAAGAAATAGCAAACAATTTGTGGACATAAGTTAAAACCACCATGGTAATTAATAAATATTCAGGAGATCATTTGAGGCTGTGCAGAAATTCCGTTCTCTTTCAAGTTTTAGCTTACTAATTTTAGCGTTCATAAATTTATCTTGCCTGCAGAAATGATTATTCTAATGATGACTTTCCATTTCCCTCATTCCTCTCTGTATCTATGAATCATAAATGAGAAAAAAATTTTCCCCTCATCCCAATTTGTTTATTCATTTGGCCATTTATTTACATCAGTGTGCACTCAAGGTTATTTGAATGAAGAGAGAGAGGTTAGTGTACATATATGCTAGCTCTGTCTGCTGAGAAGACCTAAAGATGCTGACATTCCAGTAGCAAAAAAAAGAGGCTTAAAAAAGAAGAAAATGATGGGGGATGCCACAAGAACATAGGTACCAACCTGAAGGTGCGCTCCACAGCCAGGGCTGGCTCAATTTTAGCTGGAACAATTACCAAATAAATAACAAGAGCATTGGATTATAGCCACCTATCGTTTTCAACATGTGTGTAAGAGTAAACGAGAATTCACAAGAGAAAACGCAAAACCTGTTCCCTGTGGGTTTGGATTACACAGGCCAGCAGACACCTGTCAGAACTAAGCTGGAGGCACCATCAGTGATTCCGGACATCAAAGACCCACAAAACACTGCCAGCTCACAGCGTATTTCCTTTTAAGTAAAGCCAGTATGTGAAACCGGCTGTCAATAATCCCCCTCACACACACACGTCAGAAAAAAACAAGGAAAGTATAACTGATTCAGTGATACTTTATTAGAAAATCTTTACTTATTATGCGTTTTGTAAAAGAAAAATTAGTGTTCTAATCAATCACTTCTAAAGTTAGGACAATTTCTTTCATCAGTGTTTTATAGTTTTCTATGTATAGGTCTTTTGTTTCTTTAGGTAGATATACTCCTAAGTATTTTATTCTTTTTGTTGCAATGGTGAATGGTATTGTTTCCTTAATTTCTCTTTCTGTTTTCTCATTGTTAGTGTATAGGAATGCAAGAGATTTCTGTGTGTTAATTTTATATTCTGCAACTTTACTGTATTCGTTGATTAGCTCTAGTAATTTTCTGGTAGAGTCTTAAGGGTTTTCTATGTAGAGGATCATGTCATCTGCAAACAGAGAGAGTTTCACTTCTTCTTTTCCTATCTGGATTCCTTTTACTTCTTTTTCTGCCCTGATTGCTGTGGCCAACACTTCCAAAACTATGTTGAATAGCAGTGGTGAGAGTGGGCACCCTTGTCTTGTTCCTGATTTCACGGGAAATGCTTTCAATTTTTCACCATTGAGGGTGATGCTTGCTGTGGGTTTGTCATATATAGCTTTTATTATGTTGAGGTATGTTCCTTCTATTCCTGCTTTCTGGAGAGTTTTAATCATAAATGGATGTTGAATTTTTCAAAGGCTTTTTCTGCATCTATTGAGATAATCATATGGTTTTTATCTTTCAATTTGTTAATGTGGTGTATTACATTGATTGATTTGCGGATATTAAAGAATCCTTGCATTCCTGGGATAAAGCCCACTTGGTCATGGTGTATGATTTTTTTAATATGTTGTTGGATTCTGTTTGCTAGACTCTGTGGGAGAAGGCAAGGGTGGGATGTTTCAAGAGAAGAGCATCAAAACATGTATATTATCTAGGGTGAAACAGATCACCAGCCTAGGTTGGATGCATGAGACAAGTGCTCGGGCCTGGTGCACTGGGAAGACCCAGAGGGATCGGGTGGAGAGGGAGGTGGGAGGGGGGACCGGGACGGGGAATACATGTAAATCCATGGCTGATTCATTTCAATGTATGACAAAAACCACTGCAATGATGTAAAGTAATTAGCCTCCAACTAATAAAAATAAATGGAAAAAATAAAATAAAGTTAGGACAACTGCTTCTGAAACAGAACAAACGATCACACATCAGTGACATGGGCCGGCGTCTCCTGAGCATTTACCAGTGCCTTACGCCCGGCTCCCTCCGCGTCCACCCCGGGCAGTCCTCCCTCCGCGTCCCACCCCGGTCAGTCCTCCCTCCGCGTCCCACCCCGGTCAGTACTCCCTCCGCGTCCCAGCCCGGTCAGTCCTCCCTCCGCGTCCCACCCCGGTCAGTACTCCCTCCGCGTCCCATCCCGGGCAGTCCTCCCTCCGCGTCCCACCTCGGTCAGTCCTCCCTCCGCGTCCCACCCCGGTCAGTACTCCGGGCCTCACAACAAGGAAGCCACGGGCCGGGCGGACGAGGTACTTTCAGCATCGGGACCTGGTGGGAACCGCGTCCCTCCAGTGGCTCCATGTTCTCCCCAGGGGCTGAGGTCAGCCCAAGGCACTTTTCCAGATACACTGAGTGCTCCCTGCCTCCCCAAAGGACTGCCCTCACACCATTCTAATCTCCTTTCAGGGGAGCACTTCTCACATGTTACAGGTCTCTCTGCCTCCTGAAGGCGCATCGGTGGCCTGCATGACCTCTTCTGGACGACTGGTTCCCCAGAGCAGCCTTGACTCTGCATGGTTCTGGGACGGCAACCACGGGAGTCATGGGGCCTGCAGGCGTTTTGTCCAGCCTATATTTCGTGTTTATGTCTCCACCAAAATTGCAGCTGGCAAGTCCTGCCGTCTGCAAGCATGTCTACCCTGCACCCGACGGTGAGCTGACAGGGAGCCCTGGTCTCTGAACGAGCGAATGCATCCCACCCGCAGCTCGGGGTCCCATCTTGCTCCGCTGGGTTTGTGGAGTGTTTGTCCACGGCAGCTGGCTGATGCCGTCTGCTCAGGCGATGGGGGTAATCGCAACACTGGGCAGCAAATTCTCCACCAGGCATAGTATAAAGGTGAAGACAGAGGTAGGGGGTGGATAAACAAATAGAGAATTCAGAACACTTGGAGGAGGAAGTGACAGAAAGGAGGAGCAGCGGAAGCCCCTGTAACCTCAGAGTCGGTCCAGCAGGTGCACACCACGTGCTCTGGCCTGGCTCTGCCCACCCAGTGACCTAGGTGACCATGGTCAAGTTACTTCACATCACTAACCACCCCTCCTCAGGTGCAAAACAGGGATGACGACGCCTGCCCCGTGGGGACGTCACCAGGCTGACGTTACTGTTACCCATTCTCCTTGATGTAAAAGGCCTCAACTGCTTTCCAATTTGAAACACTATCTTTGCATCCTGAGAGTTTGAAGTCAAGGCCTATACCCCAAAACACTCAGATGGCTCCACATTTTCAGGACAGGGATCACTATGTTTTTTAAAACGCTGCCTTAGATACTCAGAGGTTTCAATTCCTCTGATATTAAAAAAGGCTAAGTTTCAAACCTCTTTACTGAAAGGCAGAACAGCTGTGGTGATGCCATCCCTTATTTCCTTATTCTGACAGCTTCCCAATCACACCTGGTCTCTGACTCAGGGTGGTCCGTGGTGAGAAGCTGTAAACGCAAGGACTCCAAGAGGCTGCTCTGTGGGCAAGGCCACGTCAGTCTCAAAGGGACGAAGCGAGAACCAGAGGGCTCCCAGCACCACGAAATGCACTGATCCCTCCCAGGGAACACATTTCTCTAATCTTATCTGAAAGTTACTTTTTCAACACAGTAACTGATTCACAGCTAATTAAGTCACAAGGACCTCTATATCTCTAATCTAAGGTTTCAATTATAAAAATCCAACAAACACAACTCTTAGGAACATACAGACAGTTTAAAGTGAGGTATACTTCTCCAGTTTAAATTTTTGTGACTGTTATTAGTATTATAGTAAACTTGGACATGAATAAATTCCAATACGATAAACATAAAATTAGCCTTTAATCCTCTCTGCCCAAAGAAATCTGATGTTACATGTTGTTGCATGAATACAATTTTCCCATTAAGTTCCTCTTATCGATTTGCACCTGTATCTGTCTTTAGTCTCACACAGGTCTTGGGCCGCCTACCTTTCAAAGTGCTGTTTCATCTGTTTACATGCATAGTAGTTTCCGTCTCTCAGGTTCTGCATCTTCATAACTTCAGAAAATGTTCCCTCTCCTATTTTGCCAATTGCTTTATAGTCTATAAATAAAAACAATTATAAAAATAAAAGTTTATTTGTTCATCTGTTTCATACTCGCTTCCAGACAGCGGATGTCTCCATCTGTAAGACAGCCCAACAGCAGCACACTGAGGATGCTTTGCTTGTGTTTCCCAAGGTTCGGTGCTCCCTCGTTTTAAACAAAGCTGGGCTGTGTGTTGGCAACAGTCTCTGACCCCCTCGCGCAGCGGGGACTCACACGAGGTCAGGAAAGGCTTGGGACCCTACAGGCCGTGAGAGCAGAGCGCCGAGGCGGGCAGCATGGGTGGCCATGCCCCAGCGGCCGGGGAGCACGCTCCTGAAAACCACCCTCCGAGGTCCCACACAAGGCCCGGCGGACCTGCAGCAGGCTCCTGGGGCTCTCGCGCCCTGAGTTTCTGGAAGCTGACAGCGCGTCTCCCTGGGTTTGCGGCCACCACCACCATCACCGGGGCACAGATGGTGGTTCCATAAGCCTCCAAGTCACTACGGTAAATCCCTTGCCACCTGAAATACCTGGAGCAGTTCCCGTCTTCCGGACCGAACCTCGACAGGTACAGAAAGGAGTCTCCCGGAGCGTGCTGGGAACAAAGACCGAATCCACGCAGTGAAGCGGCGAGGGGTAGCGAGCAGGCCGGCCGCTGGAGGGCCCGGTTCGTCAGGATGGAACAGCCAGCGGTGGAAGACTGCCTGCAGCGACGCTGCCTTCGCAGACCGCGTCCACTGCACCTGCCGGCCCAGGGCAGCAACAGGAAAAGCCAGCAAGACGGAGCGAGGCGAACACTCCTGACCCCCTGACAAGTGCTCTCCAGACGGGAGTGAGCACAGGGGGAATGGGCTGCTTCCCAAGCAGAAACGGAAGGCGAGAGAGAAGCCCAGAAAGCAAACGCTTCATTGGGTTGGAAAAGCTTCCGTGGTTCAAGTAAGAGGAGAAGACCAAAAAAACTCCACAGAAAGCAGTCGTGAGACTTGACAGGTGAACAAGCTACTCAGCCTTGCACCAAGGTCACTGCAAAGTCAGGAAGGCAGCCAGTCTCCACCGCCCCCAGGCACTTGCCTTAGAGAGCAAGGAGACCCGTGTAGATTGAGGCAGCAAGGCACGACAGAAATAAGAGGCTCGAGAGGAGAGAACACTGAGCGTGGACCTGACCAGCAGCAGACAGATCGGAAACCTATCAAACAAGCCTGGGCCGAAAGGAGCCCATCGCTTGCAGGTCCCAAACCCACATCAACGAAGGGCAGGCTTTTAAAACCATCCTCTCCAAAGGGGGGCCTTCTCTTTCAGACAGAGCACACTTTTAATACCTTGCATGAATTCTGATTTGAACAAACTAACAGAAAAAAGGCCCAGTTTTTTAGAGTAATGTTTTTTGAGAAATAGTGTGCTTAAAGATTTTTAAAGTGCTTATCCACTAGCAAGAAATATTAATACTAAAGTATTTCCAGGTAAATGACACAATGTTGGGATTTTCTTTAAAATCCTATACATTCCCATTCACTTCTGCTGGAAGTATAAACTAATACAACTATGACTCAGAATTCCGCTCCAGGGTACAGACTCAAGAGAAATGAAAGCATAAGTCTAAACAATGCGGTTACACATATGTTCGTGGAAACATTTTCACAATAGCCAGAAGTCGGAAGAAAAGAAACACCCATCAACTAAAGAATTGGTCAACAGGGACTTCCTGGCGGTCCAGAGGCTAAGACCCTGCACTCCCAACGTAGGGACCCAGGTTCGAGCCCTCGTCAGGGAACTAGATCCCACAAGCTGCAACTAAAGATCCCGTACGCCACAGTAAAACCTAAATAAATGAAGATTCCGAGTGTCACAACTAAGACCTGGCATGGCCAAGTAAATAAAACGGATCAACAAAATACGGTCTAGCTACACAATGATGGTATTCAGCCGCAGACACATGCTGCAGCACGGAGGAAGTGTGAGAACATTATGCTAAGCAAAAGAAGCCAAGCACAAAAGGCTGTTTACATGAAACGTCCAGAACAGGCAAAGCCACGGACACAGAAAGTAGATGAGTGGTGGCCGAGGGTGGGCGGGGTCTGGAGGAAAGGGGGAATTGATGTGAGTTGATACTGGTTTCTTTTTGGGATGATGAGGAAAGTGCTTTAACAGATGATGATGATGGTTGCAGCACTCAGTAAAAATGCCAACAATCACTGAATCATACACTTTAACTGGGTGCACTTTATAGCACGTAAATTATATCTCAATAAAGCTGTTAAAACAGACAACTCTGTGGTGTCAGAGTCAGAACAGTGGTTACCCCGGGGACTTCAGGACATGGTGAGCTCTGTCCTCTTGACTGTGCAGCAGGTTAACGGGGACGTTCACTGTCTGAAAACTCACCAACCTGGACTCATAACTCGTGCAGTTTTCTGGATGGACATTATACTCCAGTATTTAAAAACTGGAAGAAAAAAAAGCAAGCCAAAGTTAGGAATAAGTAGAAAGTATGAGGAACAGAAAAGATATAAAGAGTATTTGCAGGGAAAGGCACAAAGGAAAACAGACTCAGATCATATTACTGTCGGAACAGTGATGTTCACGAAGTCCCACTGCCCAGACCCAACAAGAGCTGGCTCTCACCACGGTTCCAGTTCCCGGGAGGGCCAGGCCTTCCTGCTCTAGACTTGTCCTGTTCTCAAGCTTAGCCTTAATTAACGGTTATAATTATAATACACCTCCACACTGTGAAGTGTAGTGAGCCTCAGTGGTCCTCATAACTAAAGCAGACTGAAACCACCTCTTGAATGAGAAAAGCAAAGTTTAGGGACCACTTATATTCCCCCACAGACCCCCTAACAGGGAGACTAGATGTCCTCTTCTGTGGTTAGCTCCAGAGAGCCTCTTTTGGCTCCTGAAACAGGTCGCCATCCTATTTCCCAAATGAAAACTCTCTGGGCAGGACTGCCAACCCCAACACTCACAGTACATGGTCCTGCCAACTTACAAGAGTTGGACATAAACTATATTACACCAAGACAAACACACAGAAAACAACAGCAAAAAAAAAAGAATGCTTGAGACAATGAAATATGGTTTTAGTATTATGACCATTCCATTCATAAAGAAGGCTGAGCGCTGAAGAATTGATGCTTTTGAACTGCTGTGCTGGAGAAGACCCTTGAGAGTCTCTTGGACTGCAAGGAGATCAAAGCAGTCAATCTTAAAGGAAATCAACCCTAAATATTCATTGGAAGGACCGATGCTGAAGTTGAAGCTCCAATGCTTTGGCCACTAATGCAAAGAGCTGACTCACTGGAAAAGACCGTGATGCTGGGAAAGACTGAAGGCAGGAGGAGAAGGGGACGACAGAGGATGAGTTGGTTGAATAGCATCACTGACTCAATGGACATGAGCTTGAGCAAACCCAGGGAGATGGTAAAGGACAGGGAAGCCTGACGTGCCGCAGTTCATGGGGTTGCAAAGAGTCAGACACGACTCAGCGACTGAACAACAATTCACATGTAAGGAAATCTGTACACTAAAAGCCACAGTCCTAAGCAAACAGTATGACGGAAGCCAAGCCTTGCGACGGCCTGTACTTTGTGTGAGAAGAGCTGGGCCATCACACGGGGAAGGGCGTCCCCAAGCATCACCTGCAGGAAAACTGCCCGAGGGCGCGGATATTCTCTTGACGAGCATTTTCCAAACTGAGTTCTGCAGAACCGAGTACCCCTAAGACAGTAATGGGTACTCCCCAAAAGGGGGTTCCACAAGCAAATAAACTTAGAAAATGCAGGTTAGGTTAAAGAGAAACAGGCTTGACTCCGGAACTCCTCAGAGCCTTCCCCTGAATCAGCAGCGTGTCCCCAGGTCAGCAGGAGCACACAGGGGGCTGCCATGCGTGTGAACGGACAGGGCTCTCAGAAACGCCAGCTAACACGCCCGGGGCTGCTCCAGACCCCCACACCGCGGGTGTTTAACCCTACAATCCCTCCTCACCGAGTCTTCCCTGAGGAAAAAGTAACTGACCGAGCTCCCAGCATGGCAGGAGTCTGAAGCTGTTCTGCCAGTTCTACAGTTCACCCCGCTCGCCCTCCGAGAGCAGCTGGCTGGAGTGAGGCAGGGCTCAGCCCTGGTGGGGTCTGCAGGATACAAGCGTCAGAGCCCTTCTGACTAAAACCAGAAGCTGTAACCCGCTTGACAACCACAGCTTCAACGAAAGCCCAGGGCCTCCCTCAAACAGGTCACCTGCCCATTAAGTCCTGGAACCAGACCAGTAAGATTCTTGGGTGAATCCTCCCGAGAAGCTTCTTCAAAACAAACCAACCAGAAAACAGGCCCTGTGTGTGGCTTACCACTAGTGTGTCCAGTTTGCAGCATCATAAAACTACTCTGACAAACTTCTTCGGGAGCCTCCAAACTTGAAACTTTGTGGGAAAAGTCAACCAGACGGATGCTTCTATGAGTAATCTGTCCTCTGGTCCTCAGGAAGACCCATCTGACCCACCTAACCCCACTCCTGCTCATCAAGGAACAGCCAGGGAATAATTGCTGCTCATTAAAACACCACCAAACCATTCCCTTCTCTTGGATGGACTAGACTGGAATGCCCAGAAATTCCCCTGAAAAGAGACAGGCTTTTACTATGCAGAAAAAAGCTTACATGGCAGGCTGAAAGCCACTCTCCATAGAGACATCTGCTTGCAAGGTTGGCCCTGCCTGCCATCTGGGAACCCGGATTTGGGAAGGGCTCCCACCAGTCTCTATGCAGTTAAGAGTCACTCACGATGCCTACACTCTTCAAGCAAGCAGCATGGTTTGCACTGAATCTGCAGAGGGTGCCTGTGTTCTCAGCTCCCAGTAAAAACCCCAGCAGTGGGGCTCTCGTGAGCTGTGCTTACAGAAAGCAGGTCACACGTGCTGTCACAGCCTGCTGCTGGAAGAATGAAACTCGTCCTGCGTGACTCCACCAGGAGAGGACTCGGGAGCATGTGTCTCGCTTCGTCTAGGCTGTGCCCCACGTCACTTTCTCCA